GAAAAAAAAAAGTATTTGGAAATATCCCTTTAAAAAGTCATGAATCTACTTAATGAGGAGTAGTGATCCTTGCCTGCAAATGTTTGAATATAGAGTGTTAATTTAACAAGCCATCATTCTGGTTTCTGTAGCACAAGTGATACTCTGTGATCTGTTAAATGATCCCCAATATTTATGTCACAGTTGATTTAACAGGAAATGTGCTACTTCCTGGGATATCATGCATGCACACACTTCAATAGCACAGCACAATGCAATCTTAGAGATTACTCTGCAGCCATTGATTATGTGGAAAATAGCTGAGGCTCATACTTAACACTTACTGCCCTTGCACTATTTTGGGGAGGAAAAAAAGAGGCCCATTAGCTAAGAGTGAACATTTACTTTACTATTCAGGCTGGCAAACCACATGTGAAATCTGATGTGGAAATATTAACTACTTTAGTATTTTCTTGAAAATCTGCTCTAACGGGTAAATATTAACCAGAAAAGTGTTCTTAGTAGCTTCAGTCAAGACAGTTTTATCCTATGATCTTCAGGTTTCCTCACTCCATGCTACAGGGTTGTGGCTCTCAAAGCTCCTTCAGCACTAGAGAACAGCACTCAACACATCATCTGCTCCATTTGGCAACTAATCACAAGCCTTTCTCTTGGAAACCGGGATTTTATTTAAGGTTCTTCCTTCTATGACCTTTTTTTGCCAAATTCTCTATCTCCAGTGTCTTAACTAGGATGATTTTCCATATTTCTCCTCTGATATACAGCAAGAACTCTCTTAGATATTTTCCTCAATTCCCTTCTTTCTCTGTTTGTCCCTATACTCTTCTCCAGGACTTAGATTTTAGGGCTTCTTTACCCTCCAAAATAGCTGTCTAAACAATAGGCTTGGTCTGACATCTCCACAGCCTAAACCTGACAAAGAACTGAATTCCTACTTGCATCTTCCATTCCACTGCCTTCCTTTGCCTTTCCTTTTTTTTTTTTTTTTTGTATTCTCAGGTGCACATTCCTGTCAAGTGATTCTCATCTGAACACATAGATCTAAATCGATGGAGAGGTGGAATTACTTGCAATTGTTTTTAGGTATCTGTAGCACTTCTAGTCTCTAAAGTCCACTTAAAGTTTTAGAAAGAGAAACAAGCATAGTTATACAGCACTTCAGGAAACTGCTTTGGATGTCTTCCTTAGGACAAAGTAAATACAACACAAAGTAATCTAAATCATCAGCTTTTATCATTGTGATTTAGCCTGTTCTTTATGCACATAGTTAAGAAAGCTATTTAGATTTTTGCTATAACACATATTAACTATGCAATTATTTTCCATTCTAGCCTTGACACTGTGAATGGTCTTTTGTGAAGATGTAGAAAAGGAAATCTTTGTGGATCATTTCTTTAAACTGACAGAGTTACAGTTAAAAGTTTTTGTGGCTTTTTTAACCTTAAATCCTTTGATGGATCAATCTAGCTACAGATGTAGCTGGATTAAGCATGTTTAAAATGATGCCTACATGGTCACATCAGCTCTTATATGTTTTTTTGTTATAGAATTTTTCGGGTATTAAATATGCAAGAGAAACCCGTCCTTTAAACTCCTTCAGTCTAATATCAGTGTCATGCATATGGAACAATCCTCAGTGGCTGAACTTCCTTTCTTGATTTGTTATTTAGTCAGTCTCTATTTGTATCTATTACAAATACTCTTTGAAAGTGATCATCTTTAATATAGATGCATATAAAGCCTCTCCAGTTGGATCTACAGTTAATAAATAGTAATAATTATTTTGACAATAAGACCCTTATGATTTAGAAAAAGTGCAACATCTATAAGATGCCAGTTTACTGCATTGATTAGGGGTAATAAAAAAAAATAATAATCCAGAGTTCAGTCCTATGACATAATAAGAATCATGAAAAGTCAAATAGAAGTTCATAATTTTCCTGTAATAGAAGTCTTGAAATTTATCAACAACTCCAAACTTGAAACAGTTTGGTTTAGCATCTCCTCCTTTTCCCCCTGAAATCGATGTGTTTACTGTTTGGTATATGGTTACTTCTGCAGTTAAGGGCTCATATCCACGATGGAGACAACGAAACCGAATGGGATAGTCAAAATTCTCCTGATTTAGGAGAATAAATAATTCTGATAAAGGGGGCTTTAGGAGAGCACCCCGAAACACTCCCAACAAGTCACATACGTCCACTTAAGAACAGTATGAAACTCCTGCATATATTCACCGTGAAAAACATACAGGGAAAGAAAGAGATGTAGGAAAAATTTATAATCTTTAATCCTGAAACTTCCCATACAAGTAAATGCTTTGCTTATATACCTCACAGATTAACTTCCATGGAACTGGAAGGAAGATGTGTCCTACATCACTGCTCTCTGTATGAGTAACAATGTGTGATCATATAGTATGACAGCAGTTATGAGCTTGTTTGGGTTTTGTCCGTTCGACACTACCTGAAGATAAACACACAATTAAAAAATAAACTGCTGATTATTTTTGCCCATGGGAACAGACATCCTGGACTTAATCTGAGTGATTTTAGGAATGAATCAGAGAATTTTCCGTACAAACAATCTCCTGGAATGGTTTTCCATTTGGAAAAAGGAATTCTATAGGTAAGAGAGAAGACAAAAGTGATCTAAGAATACTTCTGTAAAATCCGGGAATTCCATATTAGGCCCCTAATTAGAAAAAAAAATGTAACTTTACCTAAAAGATTGTATTACAATTAATGTTATTTTTAAACAACCTTACTGATTACTACAGAAATCTGTTGGACTAATTTTAATAAATACCACATGGCTTTTCCATATAAACTAAGGTATACACCCATAGTGCAACTGATTACTGTTACATAGTGGAGAAAAAATACTGGATCATTAAATCTTTATATATGAAGAACTTGGTCTTTCCTTCATTCAGTGCTCACTCAAATAGAGGTACAAAATCTCCAATTAAAAAGAACCAGCCATCCTCTAGGTTTTAATTTTTATTCAGCTTGTGCTTCCCTCTAACTTGGTCCTGACTTTCGTGCTGGCTCGGAAAACGCCTATTAAAATATGGCCTAGAGTTAAGAACCGCAGCCTCTGGGGGACTACTAGACCAGGTTTGATTTTGTCAGCCCTCTCAAATGACCCCATTAGTCTCTGAGAGGCAGGTTAAACAGCTGCAACACCCCACAGAGGCCTTTCTTTGGATGCAGCGCCCAGATGCTCACGTGCACCTTGATGAGGGTGAAGGATCCTCATGGGCAGACACATGCAGAAGGGTCTGCGCTCTGCTCGGGTTATCCTCCCATGTCCCCATGCTCAGAGGGGAGCTACTACTGCCTTATATGCCTTAAAAATGGCCCTGCAAGGGGGGGGAATGACAAAATCTCTGTTGTGGAGCAGCACTGCCTGCAGCCCCTGCGCCCTCTGCCCACCATTGCCCACCCAGTGCCCTTGCCACGGGAGGTCCTGTGCCAAGCCTCCAGCCCTGCTCCGAAACACAGGAAAAAATTAGGAGGTCTCCCTCTAAAGTCTTATCCACATTCCTCTTGTGGCTAAGGGGGCTTTTGGAGGGCACATGGAGGGCCTCCTCTCCTTCCTCGTGGGCAGGTGTGAGGCTGTTGGGTGCGGGGATCTGCCAGTCGAGGACCAGCTGCAAGCCAGGAATGGGCAAGGGGCCTGGAGGAGAACTTATTGCTCATCTCTAGGTAAAACTAAGCCACTTTATTAACAAAGGAATGACTTGTGGTCCCAGGTATATTAGTGGCTGTTAAAAACACAAGACCTAGGGATCGTGATTCCCAGCTCTGTTTCCTGAGAGCAAAAATCTAACTTAAAGGAATAAAAAAGCATTCCTTAAGCTATATTCTGTCAATATGATGACCCCATATGCATCAGTGGATGTACACGTGCCAAACTTGGAGAGTGGAGGAGAGAATTTAGAAAAAAAATTAATAGGAATATCCAGAAGGTAGAAAAGTCTAAATAATCCACATGGAGCAGAGTTCGTGCTATGTTTTCCTAAGAAAGCATCTTGACTGAGGGGAAATTTGCATTGCTTTGCTTTTTTACCTTTTCAGAAAAAAAAAAAAAAGTATTTTAAACTGGAATAGAATTATGTACTGAGGTTTTAAACCACATGCAGAGATGATTGTGAGAGGCAGGTGATGAAAGCTGCAATCATTCTAAGTGGCATATAAGAGACCTGAAGTTTTATGAATAGACAAGAAATTGCTCCCTCTCTCTTACACCTGCCAATCCTCTTCTTGTGCCCTGTAAGACTGTCTTAGCTATGAATATCTGATTCACACTGGACCTTCAGTAGTTCATGAAGACCCAGGACTCTGCAGCTGAGCCCAGGCTGTGGTCAGTAGCGGGACTCCTGGAGCTGGGTAACATTTCAGTCTGCAGAGGAGTTACAGAATTGGGTCCCTCAGAGATCACTGCTGCATCACTCCGTATGGTGGCTTTTCTTATTTGGCCTAGAGACATGTTTCTCTAGTTTATGCAAAGCAGAAGTCAACGAAACAGATTTTTATCCAATCACAGTTTAGTCTCACTTGGATTTTCTTTCCTGCTGCAATATATTTTACTTTTGTTTACAACAGAAACAAAGCAAAAAAATGCCCTAAAAAAAACTCATGGAAAAATCCCTGTGGTCTTTGGAAAAAATTTCTCTGAGAAGATATATTGCCTCATGCACTAATATATACAGTTCAAAGGAAAATAATGGGTGCATTGTTTCAACAAGAGAAATTTACTTTAAACGTTTAAATAATTGAAAAGTACTGACACGCACAAGGACAGTCATCTTGGTTAGTTAAAAGGCACAACAATATTTCCCAACAATATTAACAATGTTGAACTTCTAAGGTGATGGTGAAAGATAGCCAGCTAGCAAAGATGATTAAAGAAATGTGTACAGGTGGTAATGGCAGATGTAGGTGGAAAGTGTCAGAAGTAGGCAGTCAGGAATATTTTGGAAAGGTGCACTCTACCTGTGTAGCCCAGGGAATTGTCGCCATTATCAGAGGTGGGGAGTGGTGTCCCGCTGTCGTTCCCCCTCTCTAGGTCTTCGGAGTCTGTCGGAAACAACACCAGAGCTGCTGATGGGGTCACAGGAGTAACAGTAGTTGCCATTTTGATCACAACACGTCCAGACACAATTAAATCCACACATGACAGCAAGAGCCACAGTGCCAGCGCACGGCACACCTCGTCCTTCCCCCGCCTGCGTGGGGGAGCCCAGGGAAAGGCGTCCGGGAGCATCGCCCGGGGGTCCCCAAAATGCTGCCCTGCCGTCCCCCTCTGCCCACTCCAAGTGTCCCTCTGCACCCCGCCAGGCACAGTGGCCACCCTGCTCACCAGCCAGCGCAGGCTGCGGGGAGCATATGGGGCCGGGCGGGCAGGGGAGCTGAATGCTAGCATTGCTAATTTTCCACCTTATTGTTAATCAAAGCTATTGACTGTGATCACTCCCCATCATCGCTTCATCTCCTGGCAATTACAGACTCAGGGGACTTCACCTCTTTGTGGGGAGGAGGCGGAGGGGGGTGGGGGTGGTGGCTGTGTCTTGGCAAGCAGGAGGGGGGCTGCTCTACCTCTCTTTGGGGAGATGGGGCAGGGGAAAGGGGTAGAGCCCCTCCATGAAAAGGCAACAGTTTAGCTGTACAAGGAGCAAGATGCATTTTCTCACTTCAAAGATGATTGCAAGGAAACACTCCATTTTAATGTCACATAGAAAAACAACAACAAAAAAAAGGGAAGGCAGCTGGTCAGCTAAACACATAAATGAACACGTTTTAAGACCCCAAGATAAACTGCTGATCAAAACACCACAAAGCACCCCGAAGATAACTCATAATAATGAACTAAATCATTCAAAGCAAAAAAAAAGAAAAAAAAGAAAATCCCACTTGCTCTGAAAACAAAACAACACAACCCAAAGGAATTTGTCGTCAACATGACTACATATTTTTGCTTTTAATGTAAAACTGTTTATTAAACTTAAATCCTCTTTTATTTACTTTTGATAGTGCACTGTCCAACAGATAATACCTAAAAAGAAACATTAACATTTTGTTCAGAAAAAAACTGCAAGAAGCAAATCTCTTTGCAATGATATCACTACCACAACAATAGGCTGCTTATTTCTTTTGCTCTGTTGACAGGTGTCAGATAATTTATTAATTATTGTAAAGACCTTGAATAGGAAAAATACATTTTGCTCTCCCACACAGACATATTCTGGACTTCTGTAATGACTGAAAGTAACTGTTCCTTTACAATAAAATCCACGTGCTGCTAAAAATCGTTCTGAACTTTCACAAAACACCTAAAGCAACTATGTAGGAAACTAAAATAGAAAAAAAAATAAGGAGATTTTAATTTTTTTTCTAGATGCCTAATTTTCTAGCTCAGTCAATCTTATTTTTAAAATGTGATGCCAAACATTCATTTTCTCCATTTGTTTTTTAAACAATCTTACAGAGACAACATCCTTACAAATCAAAATATTTTTAAAGAATTGCAAAAGAAAAACATAAAGAAAACCAAAATCCTCAAGACCAATCCACTCAAGGGGACTTATTGGCAAAAAATATTTCTTTGAAAAAGTCAATTAAAGAATTGATAGCATGCCTTTCAAAATAGTGTCGTGCAAATTAAGAAAATAAAAGACCAAACAACAGAAAACCGGCCAAACGCCAAGATGATGTTTCATCTTGGCAGATGAAAGAAGTGAAATATGGTCATTTATTGGCCCATTCATCTTTGCTGGCTCACTAATGGCCAATGTCACGTACATCTTTAAAATCTGCTCTGAAAATGGCTGTAGAGTGACTGAATCAACACTCTGATTCTCCAGATTGCTCTCTCATTTGCATTCAAGGGTTGATTGGGTCAAAGTTTTAAATTACAGCACTAAAGGACAGAAGGATGGGACTTTTTACGAAATTAAATGGCAGAGGCTGCGCCTACTTTTTTTAGGCAAAATGTTTATAATTGACTACAGAAATCCCAGACCGAGATTTCAGCCAATGAACCTGCTGATCATCATTTTGAAAGATTGATTGCCTTCTCAGAGATTTAGCCAGATACTACTCATAATGATGAAGGAGGAAGAAGAGGCACTGAAAGCTACTGGAAGTGTTCCATGTGTCACTGTAATGTCTGGTGTCATCTGCAAAATATAATTGCATAACAAATTGAACTTTTTTACCCAAGATAGTCCCTCAGACATGGTATTCTGAGCAATGGGCCACCCTCCTCACAAAACAACCAGTGCTAATGCCCTTTAGCAAAGCTCATTTAGAAGTTTAATCGGGAACAGTTTCCAGTTCAGAAATGCTCTGCATTCAATAAAGCAAACAGGACACGAAAGCAGCAGCTTTAAAAACCAGCCTACAACTACTTGCAGTTACTTTGGCATTAATATCTTGACTTGAAACCCCTCAGTGAAGGGAAATGAGGGCATTAGTCTCTTTTTAACACTACTGGTATTTACATGATATCTCTTAGTGACAGTGCACTTGTTATTTGCAATCTAAAACTACACAGACTTTATTCACTCTCTCCTTCGAGAAATGCTACTTTTCCACCTGATATGGAAAATGATATTCAACTAATGTTAAATTATGATCTCTGGCTGAAAATGATTCCCTAATGATGATGACTGAAGTTCAGTTCTTGCTGTGGGTGAATTCTACCCATGTCACTGAGTAATAAGTCTCCACCCAAGTCCTACATTTTGTACTGTTGCCCTCTGTGCTGTGTAGAATTTAATTTCTACTCTGTCACAAGTTCCAGCTTTGCTTGGGGGTCCCTGCTAAAACTTAACAGAAGTAAGTACTATTGACTTAGATGGCACATTTCACTGTGTAAGGCACTCTGCTGAATGGGTGGTTAAAGGCCTGAATGTTAAGACATGACATATTTCTTTGCCTACAGTGCTGTAGAATCAGGCAACTTTCAACTTGGCTTTCCAAAACATAACGAAAGGTTTTACATCATTACACTTTTTGAACTAGTTGCCATGCCAGAAAATGTGAAGCAAACAAACTATAAAACCAGGAACAATTCACCTGATGTTTGAAAAATTTACAGCTCAGTCTGATTCAAAGCAGAGGCTGAACTTGGTGCCTCACCCCTCAAAGAAATGCCGTAATCACTCTGTATGAGGTTCCACAGAAGTGACAGAGAGAGAGATGTCCCTCAAAATAGCTCTCTAATATGGCTGGACATCTTGATGACAAGAAGAATTCAAACCAAGGTCTCTCATCTCTTAGCTGCTCTAAAGAAAAAAAAAAAGAGTATTTTCACTAGAAAAAAAAAACCCTTAAGCTTTAAAAAGAGCCTAGGAAGTAATTGGTTTTGTCATTATGGAAAAAAAACCCAAACAACAAAAACATCCAAACACGCCCAAAAAACAACACTAAAAAAACCCCCAACCTCTACAAAACAAAATCCAATTTTAAATTCAACAAAAAATTACTTTACCTGTAACTATACAAAACTTCAGGAAGAAGTCAAATGGAGTTGCCCTCCCCTTTTGCCAAATGAGTTTATTTTGGAAGAGGAAGTTGAAAAGTGAAGCCTTGACTACTGATGAGAAAATAAGGAGCAAACCACCACCTCTTAACAATTGCTACTACACTTTTCTTTCACAGAAGCATTTGAAAGATGCCTCATTTGAGAGGGCAAACCCCCTCAGTGTGATGAAAAATATCTAACTCCTTCTTGCCACAGAAGTTTCCAGAGCCACCACTCATTAAGTTGGGCAAGTACCTCAAGGCATTAAAAAAACCCAGTGAACATCTACTTTGACTTGGTAAGAGAGTGCCAAGTTTAACCAGTACTGAGTGATCCAGCTTTTTGGTGGAACTTTTTCAGGCTTAGTCAGCCCGAGCACAGATGACACGTTCAAAGCAGAAAGAGGATTTTGCATAATCATACAGATTCTGAACAAATTTAGGGGGTCCAATGGCAGTAGGAGAGCACCGAAGATTTACATGAATGTGGAGAGCCTTTTCCAATAAAATTTCTACTGAAATCTCTAAGTTATTCCACTTTGTTGGACTGCATCAGGAGCTACTAAACACCACTCATGCTTTAATTTATGTATCTTTAAACTCTCCAAATTAATGAGAAAATCCAAATACTAAGTATTTAGTATTGTTACTCATTCTCCTAGCTCCTCAGACCAGACAGACACACTTATTTTTGCAGCTACTTACATTCAAGTGTGTTGTGCAACCCTAACCCCAAAAATTGTATTAAACATGCTTTTAACCACGGCTCTGCTATTCACAGAAAAGTCACCAGTGAATTTTTTCCCCTCTGGTAACAGCAAGTGATGCCATCGGTTATCACTTCTTTTGAACCAGGAGATATGTCTGCATGACAGGTTTTATTGATGATGCATCCTTAAAAGTCCCCAAATGATTCAGTATTGATGCCCTGGCCTATCCTCCTGGTGGACACAAAGAAAAATTGAAAAGAGCCAAACAGACATAACTTCTTACTGCTGTAGGAATCTCATGTATCTGAGTTTCTACACTGGTCATTATTTACCTGAAATTCAAGTCATCTACTGAGAAATGTCTGACTATGAAAATAGTAACTGTTACCTTATTTAATTCCAAAATCTATAACTCCATTATTTCTTGTTATGTTTCTCAAAATTTCATTATCACCATCAGCACGGGGGTACAAAACTGGGAGGAAACAGCATGAACAGCATTTTGCAAATGAGCATTAATAAAAGATTAGGGTGAAGCAAATGAATATAAACTACTATCAATATTAGAATTGTGTTCTACAAATTGGATCAATTCCCATCGATTCCTTTCGAGTGATCTAGACAAATTCAGGAAGAGACATCAAAAAAAAAGCCCAACTGGGACTGCATCAAACCTAAACCTAAGATGAGGAACTAAATTAGTAGCCAGGGCTTTTTTCATTATTTTGATTTATTCTGGGTTTTCATTGGAGTTACAGTAGAAATACACTATAATATGTCTTAAGGAATATTTGGTTTAATTCTGTTTCTTCATTTGGTTATTCATTATGCCATCAGAGTATA